CAAAAATCATGTTGAGTGAAGAGAAAACCAACACAAAAGAAAATATAATTTAATTTATGTATACATGTGTAGATAATGCATGTTATATTAAACATAGGTGAAACTTAGCTATGCCATTTAACTTGGGGTGGAAGCTAATCTTGGAGAGGAGAAAGCAGTAGTGTTTGTGGACAGGACAAAGAGTTATTCCAAGAATACTGAGGGGTTCTATCTAGTCTTTGGCATGTACATGGGTGTCCACTTTGACGTAATTCATTGAGATGGTGTTTTGTGCACTACAGTGTATACACATTATGCTTCATGCAGGCACACACACACAAAATTAAAAAGAAAAAAAAGACTGATAAAATTGGCCAAAGATTACAGTAGGTAGGCTCAGATGCTCATATAATTCCTATACTACTGAGTTACTTTATTTTAGCTTGTAAATAAGAGAAATTTTCCATTAAAATATTTCCTCTTATTATATTCACTAGCTACACAGAATATAGGCAAAATGGTTACTATTATTGAAAACACGAAACTGTGCTTGCACTATAGTGTTTTTCATTATCACTAGCATATTTCATGCTTCAGTTGACATTATCTTTAAAAGGAATTAGAGTATGAATAATACTGTTTCAAAGGCTTCTTCAGTTTTAAAACAAGGCTTTCTTATTTTGAATCCAAAAGTAACTAGACATGAGACAAGCACAGATTGGACCCAAAGGAATGAAGTTGTGTTCCTACTAATGATTTTGTTTAAACACACAACATGTCATATTCCAAGAACTCAAATATTTTTGTAGTGGCCACTTGAGAGCCTTATTTGGAGTTGTGTAAGATTTCTGATGGTCTTGCTTACAATTGTGTTTTTCTAAGAACTCCACTTATCATCTAAATTTCTGGAATGGAAGGAGGGAACCTGGAACAACAGACCTAAATTGGGTGGACATTTCTATGATTCCATAGCATCATCCTCTAAGGAATGCCTTTTGGAAAAGCACAGTTTTCCAGCCAACTTTTTACCCCAGGGAAACTTCTGATAGCCTTCTCCATGGTCGAATCTTAGGTAGTATACATGGTATGTATTAACCAAATAATTTGATTTACATAAAGTTGCTTAAAAAATACAGTTTTTATCCCATAGGCTCCTTCATACCTCATAATGATGGTAGGTGTTAGTCAATCCATATTGCCTTCTTTTTGCCTCCAGTTTTACTATAGCATTAAATATAAGAAGTATATAGAGGCATTATTAGTACACAATTAGTCACCCTGTAGAAATGCAAATTAAAACCGCAATAAGATATCACTTCACGTCAGTTAGAATGGCCACTAGCCAAAAGGCAAGAAACAACAAATGCTGGCGAGGATGCAGAGAAACAGGAACCCTCCTACGCTGCCGGTGGGAATGCAAACTGGTGCGACCGCTGTGGAAAACATTATGGAGGTGCCTCAAAAAACTAAATATAGAAATACCATTTGACCCAGTAATTTCACTCCTAGGAATATACACAAAGAAAGCGAAGTCCCTGATTCAAACAAACATATGCACCTCTGTTTATCGCTGCACTGTTTGCAATAGCCAAGATACAGAAGCAACCTAAGTGTTCCTCAATAGATGAATGGATAAAGAAGAGGTGGTACACATACACAATGGAATATTATTTAGCCTTAAAAAAAAAAGAAATCCTGCTATTTGCAACAACATGGATGGATCTAGAGGGTATTATGCTCAGTGAAGTAACCCAGGGGGAGAAAGACAAATACCACATGATTTCACTTATTTGTGGAATATAAAAACTAAACAAAACAAAATTAACAAAACAGCATTAGATTCATAGACACTGAGACATGATTAGTGGTTACCAAGGGGGAGGGGGGTGGGCTGGGGAGGGCGAGGGAGGGGACAGTTGAACCACTGTGATGTACATTTGATAACTTAAAAAAAATTACCCTGTACATAAAAGGGTAAGATTAAATATTCATCCCACCCTACTCTACATTCCTTCCATCCTGTAACTTAATGAAATTACATGTTACTCATGGTACTCATGTTAACACCCTATATTGTACTCTGAATATAACCTCCTCATTCCTCCACAGATTTGTGCTTTTCCATTTAAAAATGCCCTCCTATTTCATCTCTCTACTTAAATCTGCACATTGTTCTGGAAACAGAGTATAAATTTAGGAACACTTCTTTCCCACTCCTATTGATTCCAAACTAGGACACTCAGTCCCTTACTTTGAGCTTCTCTCCACCCTGAGGAAGTAAACATCTGATCTGTAAATACAGGAAGAATAATAATAAGAAAAAGTCCTTACATTTATTATTTCACTTAGTCCTCTGAGTTGCACTGCTATTACTGCAGATGGAGATGCCCAGGCTTAGAAAGGTTGTGTGTGGCAGATACGGCTTGTTGACTATCTAATATCCATTCTCCTTCTTCATTGTATGGAGAATACTGTCTTTTTATTTTTTTCAGGGAGATGACATGTTTTGCCTTAGAAAATAGTTATTTCCAAGTCAGCAATAACAATCCTGCTCCCTGATTTCCCGAACTCCCTTCCTTTCATGAATAGGTGGCCATGGGACCCAGATCTGACCAATGAAACAAAAGTAAGCTGGAGATTTCTGGGGAGCTTTTCTCTTCCTGATAAGGAGAGATATGGCCAGTGCTATTCTTCAAGTCCCAACGCGACAGCTAGGAAGGACTACAGCAACTATCTTTTGACCATGAGAGAATAATTTTAAAGACCTAAAAATTCTTAGAAAACCTCTACTGGACCAATGAACTGGGTACTTTAATATATAAGAAATATAAAAACTTATTTGTCACTGTGGTAGGGATTTCTTTTATTCATAGCTAAATGTAATCCTGACACAGTGATTTTGTAAAAATGAGATAGAAAATGCAGAAGGGATCTTATAAAAGAAAAGCATGTGCATTTACTGCATCTCTACCATATGTTCAGAATTATAATGCAAATATAGAAGATAAATGAACTGATTCCTTGTTTTTAAGTGTTAGTAATACACAGTACAGCATTCATATGTGAATATGTGAATATAGTACTGGCAGATTACAAAAATATTGAGGGGATTTAGAATAAAAGAATGGCCAAAATAATAGGTTAAAATCACCTAAGTAAAGGCATTCCAAGGAGTGACTTCAGAGCTAGTTCTTGATCAGGAAAGTGGAATCAAATGGTAGAATACTGACAAGATTAAAGGCCATTTGATATTACATATAAAGTAGTAAAAGAAAGAATGAGGGAGCTGTGTGCATAAAAGAGACAAGCATATTTACTAGAACAAAAATTTTAATAATGAATAAAGGTTATAAACAAGGAAGATGTATGGCCTTAAAGGGACGCCAGAGGACTTCAGGTTTACTTAGATAGGTAAGTTTATATAGGTAATGTGGAATTAGTACAGTATTTACAGAAAGCCGTAAGATGGAATATTGGTTGGATCATGTCCAGCTAGGGGCCGCCTGCCATTGATCTAGAAGGATGTGAGTGGGGTGAAACTAAAAGTGACAATTAAAATGCAGAACGAATCTACAGGACTTGGAGTTACTGAGTATGGAAAGGAGAGAATCGAAATTACACCCGATTACCACTCAATCAAAAACTTCAGAAGAAGAAATGCTGGATTTTGTTCTGAACAGCACAGATGACTTAGAAAAAAATAGAGCCTTCAGAAGAATGAGTTATTTGTGTCTCTGAGTTACTGAATGCCACCTTAAAAATAAGCTCTGCTTTAAAATAAATAGTAAAAATCCTTTCCTTTGTCTTCAGTAAACACCTGAGCATGTTATGATAATGGCTAGTCATCATCCTCCTTTACCAAGGCTACCCTCTATTTTGTCTCCATATTCATTTAACATGTGATTCTTATAAATTGAAACAGTTGAAAAACAGCTGGCTGAACTCTCTGCTTCAGTGCTTCGGATACTTTGCTTCTTGGTAAGCAATCAGTATTTTGATTCTGCTGTAGTAGTAACAGGAAATGATCTGTTAAAATCTGGATTTCTAGCTATAGATGAATGCCAGGTAAAGAGAAGAGCTAATCTCTGAACAAATTCTATAAAAACAGTTTGAGGAGTTATTTCTGGGACCACAGGGAGAGAATCCTAATTTGCTCTCAACATTAGAAAAGCAAACGCATAGTAAAAGAATATGTCATGGCGACCCCTGAATTGCAGCAGTGGAACACTTACTGCCGCAAACCAAGTAATTATGACTGTTAAGTGCTACAGCTTCAACTATACATGAGGTGAAATACCATTTCCTGAAATAAAAATTCACTGGGACAAAGGTTTCATAAACAGGTAATACACTTCTAAATTGGTCCAAGTACAATTTTGCTTATGTTCACAAAATACTAAGTTGGTTCTATTCATGAGAAAGGACAAGAGAAGACAAACAATGGAGGTGGGATTAGCCACAGAATAAAGGGAGGGTACTTTCACATAAAATTGAAAAATAAATTGGTTAATAGAACTAAGAAATAGTTTTAACCTTTTATATAAAATTGTCATGAATTATAGACATTTTCTTAGATTACGGTGTGTGTGGGGGGTGGCTTATGATTTGTCCTATTAATAAAATAAATCATTACCATAGATCATTTATACACTAATCCCTGAGACTTTCTTCTGAACCATTTTCCTCTTTCTAAGGCTTTCTGGACACCACTGCACAGAAACAGACCCAACTAAACAGCAAACCATGAGGTACAGAGAGCTTTCTGGTAGAAGGTTGGTAAACAACCTCGTAGAGCAAAAATTTCCAAACACCACACTCTAGGGAGTCGGAGAAGCGAGGAAAGCTGGAACAATGTGGGCAAGAGAAAATAATTCTTGATTTAAAAGATCCACAAAGCAAAAGTGTCCACCTAAAATCACAACTACAATGTTTTAACTTCCTTAATGCTTTAATGTAACATATATTTGCAAATGTTATCACTTTAAAAAGGTTAATTGATGAAATAAAGTAATAATCAAGAATTCAGTTAAAAATATGACATTTAATTAATTAAGAATTTTAGAACAGTAACAATTTCCTAAAACACTAGAAACATATAAAAGATCATGGCTCAACTAGTAGATTCATAAAATTTTATACTAAAAATTGATATGGTTGTGCATTAATTTGCACTAAATTAGTAGTCATAATGGCTAAAGGAACAGAAGGCATGGTGTCTAAAATTACTTTTCAAGATTTGTCTGTGTTTGAATCGTTGGAAACTTTCAAACTAGAATAAATTACAAAACATCACTTGATTCTGAACACACAAATCATCTGTTTCAAATTAACTGTTGCTACTCATACACAAACAATGATAGTCTGGATTCAAGAATAGACTTGGAAAGTGAATAACTAGCTGGTATTACAGTCTTTCTTTCCAAAATTCTACCTCCTCCACAGTGTCTTATTTTCACCTCTATCTTCCTGAACAGGAAGTCAGCTCTTTGTTCTCTTCTACACTCCAATATGTCAGATCTTACCACTCTAATTTCTGATTTGGTTGGCTAAAGACCTACTATAATGTAAGCAACTGGAAAGCAAGCTGTGCATCAGATTTATCTTGGTTTCTTTATTACATCTAATTCAATACCCAGTATCTACTAGTCTTTTTAAAGTTGAGCATTTATTAGTGTTCCTTAAACTGCTGTATTTAACAATTCTACATTTTATATAGTTTCTTGTGATAATATTTCCTCAGGTAAAAAACAATTCTGAAAGTGTCATACTTAGATAATAGGTGAAATTTACAAATTTAAACCTTATGACTGCAGTTTGTCCAATACCCAAACATATACTAATTACAAATGAATCAATGAATTTGCTCTCATTGTTTTAACTATTAAAAACACTTTTCAGTTTGTTTTTTATTCTCAGATCTTATATAGTAAGAAATATAACTACTTCAAATCTAGCATCTTTGAGTGGTTCCTATGTAAAACAGGTAAAATAAGCTCTTTTTTAATCAGCTTTACTGAGGTATAATTAACATGCAATAAACTGCACATATTTAAAGTGTGTAATTTGGTTAAGTTTTGCATACATGTATACCTGTGAAAGCAGTACCACAGTTAGGATAATGAACATTTCTATCATCCCCTGAAATAGTCTATCCCTTATTCTCCCCACTCCACATCCTACACAACCACTGATCTGCTATCACTTGAGTAGCTGCATTTTCTAGAAATTAAAAAAAAATAGCATCATATAGTATGTACATTTTTTTATGGCTTCTTTTTCTCCACATATTTTGGAAATTTATCCATGTTGCATTAACTGTCCACTCATTTTTGTTGCTCAGTAATATTCTACTATAAAGCTATATCACAATTTGTTTATACATTCTCCTATTTATCAACACTGGGTTGCTTCCAGTTTTGAGATATTACAAATAGAGAGGCTATGAACATTTAGGTACAAGTCTTTAAATGGACATATGCTTTCTTTCCTCTTGGGTAAATGCCTAGGAATGGAATGTCTGGGTCACATGGTAGGTGTATGTTTAACTTTTTAAAGAAATTACCAAATGTTTTCCAAAGTCGTTATATATTAATTACATCTTCCCCAGCAGTTTGAGGTCTGGTTCCCCCATATCTTTGACAACACTTGCAATTGTCTCTTTAATTATAGTCATTCTAATGGTTGTGAAATAGTATCTCATTGTCATCTTAATTTGCATTTTACTAATGTTTAATAAAGTTAAGTACCTTTCCATATGCTTATTTGTCAATCCTATGTCTTTGCTGGTAAAGTGACTATTCAAATCTTTTGCTCAGTTTTCACTGGATTGTCTTCTCACTGTTGTTAGAGTTCTTAATATATTCTAGATACAAATCCTTTGTTGAATATATAATTTTCACCTTTTAAAAAAAGAAATGCAACTGCTTTAGATAATTATGCTTTGTTAGTGTAGCACTTGGTCTATCTGTACTTTAACCCTTATAATAAGGGGAAGCATTATCTCTATAATCCTCATCTACCAAGTTTCCCCATGCCTAATAAGGTGGTCCGCCAGCAGACATATGAAAAATAATGAAGGAGAAAACACACTGACTTTTTCAACGTTCTTATTAATCCCTCCTGATTTTAGGAGCTTCTTAGCAAATTATTAGTGGTAGGAGATAACAGACTGGATCATGTAAATGATAATTAGTTCTCTTCCTTTTCTCTTTAAAGCAAAATTTTTTAAAAGCAGTTAAAAAGTAGTAACATTATTACTTTTTATTAGATTTCTCTGTCTCTTAAACTAAACCCTGTTGTTTACATGAATGTGTTCCTTATCAGACTAAAGCAAAACACCTAAAATAGTGCCCAGTGTATACTGCTACTCTTGTTTACTTGATTCCCTCATTTTCTTTTAATTCCTATCCAGGTGTTTGGCTTCAGTCCTCTGTTCTATCCTTCCCAGCATCTCACATCTATACTTGGATTAATTTGCTGGTCCCAAATTTTTGGTTGCAGACTTTTTGGTGACCTTGTAGATCACCTACCATGCTTCTTATTCTTACTTCAAAGACAACAGTGAAAATGGCAATAAAACTCTGTGGAACTCATAGGAAGAACAGCAGAGATTTTACACAGTAAAAGTGAAACCATCTTTTTTTATAATATCCATGTGAATCAGTACTCTGCCAGAATAAAGCAAACACATATTTATTTTAGACTTTACTGTTTAAGACTTCAGCCTACCCAATAACGCAAGAACCACTGAAGAATGTTTCCCAAATGGAGCCAATCTGGGAAGTTCTATGGCTAAATAATCATCCTCAAAATATAACAGATAGAGGGGGGACAAAAAGTATACAGAATCAAATCTACTCATTTTAAACTTAAGCTCCTTTAAAATATTTTTATAGAGAGAACAATTTCGCATATTTTTAAAATTTTTATGAGACATTCTCTGGGAATGCTTGAGTGTCAGACACAAATTTCAAACTAACTCTTCTGTAAGGAGCACTAGAACTAATATAAACAGCAGATTATACTGGCAATCTCTGACCTTATACCAGGATATAGACAACCCTAGAGTTAAAAGCATTTCATGGAAGTAAATCATGATACAATTAACTATATTCCCTAAACCAGAATGGTTCTCATCAAACACCTAATGCTAAGCTTATTGTGACACTGTTTTTTAAAAGGTCCAGTATTAAAAGAATAAACTTCCTCTGAATAAAATAATAATAATAATAATACTTTTGGCCTATTAAAGACAGTATCTATTGATAAAACATAGTTTTGTTTCTAAACATGCAGTAAACCATTACTCTAATGTATGATCACTATATGAAACAATCACCTTGTTAATTGTGTATTATTTTTGTACACAAAAAATTCTTCTATACACAAAATTTATCTATCTTAAAATTTTCAGTTTAACTGGTTTTCCTTTGATATAGGAAAAATTTAATGATTGGCTTCAAATACATTTTTAATAATTAAAATATGTGAGCTTTATTTTATGTTAAAGGAAATAAAAATAGTGTGACCCAAAATTCCACTTATTAAAGTTGCAATAAAATACTCACCAACACATAAAAAAATGCAAAATAATTGATCATTTTTCAATAAAGATCCCAGATAAAATACTGACTGATAAAACAAAGATATGTTTAATGACTTTTGTTCTAAGGTCACCTTATTGAACGATACATCATGAAGTCAATAGTTGTACATCTAGGAAATTTACCAATGGAGCTCTCTTCCACTGGTGTATATATTTTAATTTGTCTCATGTGGGTGTCTCTTCCATTTTGGTGATTGGCTAGAACAGCAATCTGTATCATGAATGTGCGAGTTGGCTTCTTATGATTATCAGTTAAGGGAACATGAATCCAGCCACTTGGTTCCACCAATTCAAGTTGC